ATCTAAAGAAAGATAGAAATAAAAGCCCGCGAGAAATCTAAATTGAGGGGCGAATGGCAGATAATGACGGGTGCTGTTGTTGCATGGGAGGGCTTATAAGTGGGGTATGAATAACAGCCACGGAGACGGAAAAGTGGAATTTGGCAACATAATTAGAGAGACAAAAAACGAACATGTGAAAGCTCCGATGGCCATGTTTGCGACAATGGGGTCGGAAAGTGGGAGATTGGATTTCTATAAATAATCTCCGGTTGGATAATTTCATAGCTGTAATGATCCATCACGGCGCATGTTGCATAAGTATTACACAAGTCAAACAACAAAAGGCAGGAAAAAATACTGTAACCTGAAAAAAGGGAATATTTGAAGGACTTAATGTTTGCAGCTTTTGAAAGATTACGCAACAGTCTGTGACGAGATTGAACAGGGAAAGTAAATCTATGTGAATCTAGCTTGTGTGTGATTTATTAATGTTGTTTTAAGTATTATGTTGTTTAATGAGCCCTAGTTTCCACTGCCACCTGTGAACAGACGCACTTTATTTATTTTTCCAAATCTGTGATACACAATTGATTTTGCATTGACATGAATCCGCTGCTCGCTACTTCAGGCAGGTACACTGTTATTGAATTTCTCCTACAGGGGATCAATAAAGTATCTATCTATCTATTATGTTTTAAAGCAAATCAGGCCCACCAAGACTTCTGATCAGACCCATGACTGTGTTAGGTGGGGATTTTATTTCTGTATTTGTTTTTATTTTGACATTAGTTCTCTGTGGTTTCGTTTCAGTTTTACTTCCTGTCCCGTTCCCCTGTTGATTGTCTGCCCCGCCCTGATGTGTTGCAACCTGTGTCTGTCTGTGTCTTTATGTACCCTGTTGCTGGTTCATTGTATTGTCAATGTCTGTCCTGCGGTCGTGACAAGGTGTTTCATAATCTGAAATGACTGTATAAATGTGAGCCTAGTTCCACTGAGGCTGAGACTCAAGAGCCTTGGTATTGTAGTGTTTCACGTGTTGATTGGATTTACGAATATTGTTCAAATATCCTTAATAAACTAAGCTGTTTGAAATCACAATCTGCTGCGAAACAGTGGAACAAACTCTTATCCGAGCTTCTGAGCTGGAACTCACTCATTTCAACTCCACAAACAGGTCTTTTTTGGATCTGTGGTTCCCAAAGTGCGGGTCAGGGGACACTAACTTAGCATAATATACAGTATATCTACATCAGGGGTGCTCACACTTTTTCAGCATGCGAGCTACTTATAAAAGGATCAAGTCAAAATGATCTACCTACTACAAAAATGCAAATCACATATTTATTTCAAAAAATATTCTTTATACCTACAATGTATGTTTATGTACATGCAAAACCGCATGAGCCAATATAGCACAACACAACACAATTACCTATGTACATTTTTTGTCATTACCCGAGTTTACTCTGATGACTTGCACTGAATTGAATCGGCCAGGGATGCATAGTCCGGAAAATTGGTGGTAACTCCCTGACAAGTTTGTCGTTGTTTAGCTTTCCTGCACTGAGCGCGGTTGTTTGCGCATGTGCAGTCACCTAAGTGTCAGTAAAACATTACTGAGTAAAACACAGATGTCATTTGACTGTGGTGCCATGTCCATGTGCCATGCCTGGTTTTTTTTAATCCAAATATTTCCCCTCCTCAGTTTATAAAATAATTTGCATCCACACATCTGTGTTATCAATCACATTCGTAACATTCCAAACATGTGCGTCTCTTACGTCCTGTCCTGCGTTGGGGAAAAACACAGAAGTGGGCGGAGCTTTGATGCAGACGCCGGTAACGGCACTTTTACAGTCATAGAAGACACTCAGAGTAAAGACGTATGTTTACAAGCACTGACCCCGTCCTCAGCCCTGGTTTAGTCCTGGTTTAGTCCTGGTTTAGTCCTGGTTTAGTCCTGGTTTAGTTGTTTTCGAGCGTGAGTCCCCGCGATCACTTTGTTGCTCTCTGATGTGGAGGATGTTTGCTGCTGCGAGCATCTCACAGCGAACAGTTTTTAAGGTAGTATGATCCATGCTTCAGTGATCAGAGGAATTTAGGGGGGTACTTTGGCGTGCGAGAACGCAAAACTCCGGTTATCTCTGTCTACACACAAATGCATTAATGGAGTTTTCAAAAATCTCCACTTTGCCCGGAGTTTTTTGTATATATTCGTTTAGAATGTGTAATTTTTTATTTATTTAATGCGATCTACCAATACTACCTTTGCGATCGACTGGTAGATCGCGATCGACGTATTGAGCACCCCTGATCTACATGATATTTTTTGTTTATTTATTGATACAAACTGAGGTGGTATTAGCTCATAGCACAATACATTACTCAAATAAACAGCATTAAAGTGAATTTACCCTGTTTTGACCATTCAAATTATTATTCTATCAAAGTTTGTACATCACAAGTTGATTTTATGCCTATATAAGGATCCCGGCCTGAAAAGTTTAGATCAGCAGAGATGTATATAATGATCTTTAATGATAGGAAATTAATTATGGAAATATAAATGCATTGTACAGAATATAGGTCGGTGCTGGTTGTGTGCTGAGATACTGTCACATACATTCTGGATGAGATAATACGCTACATGTTACTACTAGATACTACTCCCCTTAGGATTATAGATGGAAAGTGGCTACAGTCTGGTACATGCATCTGACTGACCCATCCTCACTGAAGAGGTTTCTCTTCCTGCTGCCGTCAGACTGTACAATGATAACTGCTGAGCCTGTACATGTCATCTTATATATAATTAGTAAATACTGTGTGTATACATATGTGACGGGGTTCTGAATGTGAAATAAGATGATGGCGCAGCCAGAGTACTTTTAAAGTTTTATTCCCAAAAAAATAATAATAAAGTATTGAAGTATAAAGTATCGAAGTATCGAAGAGGAGTGCTGTACCAAAAACAAACCAGTGATTAATAAACATATTTACAGTATTTACAGAAAAAAATTACATTGCAAGAAGGTCTCCTGGCTTACCTCCTCTGTCCCAGTTCAGACTCACACTGACACTGACAGTAGAGGCTGGCCTAGTCTTAAACCCCTCAGGCTCCTCCTACATGTCAATTAAGTCATAAACTTTTAGTTTCTACATAAACCATGATTACGTTCCTAATAAATAAAATATGGATAAATCCACAATCAACTCCTCTACTGTAGAGTTCTCCTCTGCACCTGTAGACTACAGAGGAAAAATAATAAAATACATTTCCCAAAAAAACCCGAAAAATACGATGACGTCACCAATGACGTCAGACGCAGACGTACGTGAGAGGCGCTCAAAACAGGAAGCGCGGACTGCGCTCGGTTTACAGGTGTAACGCCGAGATACACTTCCTTGAAGAGATGCACTTCCCCAGCTGTTTATGATGTAATGCAAACCTGCGCATGCGCGTCTCACGGCAACCGAAGCATACCAAGATGGCGGACCGTGAATTGCTTTAAAAGTTGAAATACGAACGAATTAAGACACGAATGTCACTTTTAATGCAATTTGAGGCGAGATGTTGATGGTTCCGTTTTGTCACATGTGGGTTTTAAGAGTCAAAGTTTCGTGCAAAGTTTAGTTTAAGCAGTCAACTGCGCCTGTGAAACCACAAAGCTAATGTTTTCATAGCAGTCCGCGGCTGCTGACGTAGGCTGATGACGCGTCCTGTGGCAACTCTACAGCTTACAACTGGTCTGTCGGGTTGATAATGGAAATAATAAATTTCATTCAATACATGTATCGTACTGTATTTAATATGATTAACAATAGTGTGTTCAAACAAAATATTTAATTAGATTGATTTTTTTCCCCATTTTCCATTATCAACCCGACAGACCAGTGTAGAGTGGCCACAGGACGCGTCATCAGCCTACGTCAGCAGCCGCGGACTGCTATGAAAACATTAGCTTTGTGGTTTCACAGGCGCAGTTGACTGCTTAAACTAAACTTTGCACGAAACTTTGACTCTTAAAACCCACATGTGACAAAACGGAACCATCAACATCTCGCCTCAAATTGCATTAAAAGTGACATTCGTGTCTTAATTCGTTCGTATTTCAACTTTTAAAGCAATTCACGGTCCGCCATCTTGGTATGCTTCGGCTGCCGTGAGACGCGCATGCGCAGGTTTGCATTACATCATAAACAGCTGGGGAAGTGCATCTCTTCAAGGAAGTGTATCTCGGCGTTACACCGGGTTGGAGTTTGGTGGGGAGACGGATACTGAGTGGAAACTTTATGGAGTGCAAAACTATGGATGGGAATGGTTAACCAGAGGCCTAGTGTGCACCCAAGACAACTGGGATGAATTAATGAACGAGGATGGGAACGGAACGGACTGACAAGGAACAGGAACGACAAACAGGCAAGTGAGTTAGGTATGTATGCGTGTGTGTGTGCGGGGGGGGGGACTGCCCTGGGCATTGACGGAGGCTGCTCCGTCACAACATATATATACATATACACACACACGTGTGTGTGTGTGTATATGTATAGATATATACTTATGCTCCTATTATTGAGCATTCACAGCATCTTATCTCTGAATATTTGTGTGCTCTTTCTACAGTCCTGTTTGTGTGCTGTAACACTGAAACTTCATAAAAAAATCTCTGCTTTGCGCATACTGTAATTGTACAATGTCTCGATAAATAGATGAAAATGAAAAGGCCGATACAGAAATCAGCAGTCTGGTGTAAACGTATGGATCTATCCTTCATTCATGTCCAGGACATTGACAAAAATATGTTGTTTTTGATCAGTAACTTGCTTATTTGAATTCAGATTGAGCAGTTATATGCTTATTACAAAGCGACACACTCCAAAAGCCCAGTGCTGCGTTGCATGTGTGGTCCACCCAGGGCAGGAGAGCAGCAGAGGATATCACCAACACCTACGCAAAGAGGCACGACAGAGCACCCAAAGGTCCCGCGTGAGGCCATGGGGGGCTGATGTCACTGTACCTTGTGCAGGGGGGAGGCGGCGCAGGGGGGCAGCGGGGGGTCTAGCACTGCAGTGATCCGCGGCTCGCTCCCATCTTGTTTCCTACAATCAAACAGACAGAGCACAGGCCCAAAGGTCAGGGACCACACGCTGTGATGGAGGAGGGCAGTGTGGCATTGGTGAAGATCACATAGAAACACTCGCCCGTTAGGCCCTTTGAATCTTAAAACACCACCGTCAAAACAAATCTTTGTGCAAAATATATAGTTTCATATAGTGTACAAGCAAAAAATGAGCAGAAAGAAGAGCGTTCTTATAATATTTACAGTTATCACTTACAAGGTTTTTGACATTCAAGGACATTTATTAACACTTAACACCGCTCTGGACCAAAGGCTCCGTTTGTTATTATTGGATTTCTTGTGTTCAAACTGTTTGATTCTCTGATCTGTTGTGAGGAATCCACAACAGAATTAGGGCTTTACAAAAGTAAATGTAATGTTCTACATTTTAACAAAGAAAGTCACAGTTAATAATTGTTTCCAAATCTGAAAAAAATCTTTCATTTAAAATGAATGTCACTTTATCATATACATTTTCTACTTCATGCTGACTTTTTTAGTGTTTATCAAAGCTTAAATAAACAATTTATTAGAGCTTGAGATTGTTTTTTTTCTGTCAGAATTATTCATCATTTAATCAAATTTTAAAGGTTACATAAAAATGTTTTAATCACAATTACATTTTCTCTAGTATCATGTAATTGTATTCAACAACCATTGTTTGTCAATAAATTCAATAACTACATAAATTTTCTAGGCACTAACCACAGTGAGGGTTAGGGGTTCAGGACACATCCCTATTCCTCACACGCAGAAGCCTCATTCCCACTGAGCAAAAATATTTCAGAGGTTATAAAACGACAAACAAGTTCCATGAGGGACAATATTTTGCTGTTTGACAAAATTGAAGCTCTTACTGTCAGAGTTTGGGCCTTTGCATAAAAATGTTTGAAAACTTTTATGTTTCTCAACGTAAATGAAAAACTTGCCTCCATTATAATTTGATTACTGGGGTCCTGGGCTGTGACATTAGAAGACTTTTTTATTTTGACACATTCCTCTCTTCCTGGTGGTGAGAAGCTGACACGGGTCCAAACAAAACACCAACCTTTCCCACTGTTGCCCTGGCATTTCAACACAGGTCAAAAACACGGGTCTCTTGTGTGAAAACAGCTAGAGAAGCACGTTCATTCATTCATTCATTTTCAACCCTCTTTTTAGTCCATTTCTGGGTCGGGGGTCATTGCAACCCAATGCTCATAGCACCAGCCCCTCGCTGATCCTCTGCAGGTGGTGGGTCCACAGGAAGATGGCTGCTCCGTCAGCGGTGAAACAGCCTTGGTCTTTCAGCGGGGGCTCCAGGCAATGTGGGGTTAAGTGTCTTGCCCAAGGACACAACGACAGTAGACGTTTGTGGAAGCAGATAGAGTAGGTCCCATGGTGGGCTCAAACCCAGGACCTCCAGGCCCAAAGGCCGATGCTCTACCAACTGAGCTACTGTCGCCCCTATAGAAGCACGTACGATACATAATTCATGCTTGTAAATGTCAACAGGAGCAACGAGACACTCGGTCCCCACTTATACAACACTTCCTGCTTGTGACAGTCAAATCGCTCTTTAATCCTGGACACTGACATATACAGAATTGGAAACAGATGCAGGCTTCCACTGGTGGTCAGGGCTCAATATTCCAGCACAGTTTATCCCATTGAGCCAATGATCGATGCGGTTTTCCCCTGACACGGACTGTCATCGGGCCGATCCACAAAACACCAACAATCTGCCACATAACACCTCAGTATTCAAGGTGAATATAAAGTGACTGCGATTGTGAAAGCATTAGGTCTGGTGGAATCTATATATACATTTTATTTATTTTGAAATGACAAAAAAGATAATTAGGAAATAAAAAATATATATATGCATTGAGTTCATTCACTAAACATGAGAATATTGACGTAATATTTGCATGTGTTTTAGAATGTTAAATAATTGGAAGGTGGGAAATAGTCAGAGATTTGGAGGCACAGCTCTTGGCAGGAAATATAGATACTTTTTATTACATGTATTTGTAAATAACCAGAATGTGTTGAAATTCATGCTTAACCCTTAAACATAGTTGTTTTAATCGTGCAAATCCAAACGTGGTGGATCAGGCTTTAGTGAAGGTAAACAACATATCAGCTCGATAAACAGGAGGCAAACCATCCAGGAGCAGCGGCCGGCCCCCAGGGGCCCGGCCATAAGACAGGCATCAGCTGCCTCAACCCTTCATTAAAACTACACCAAGATCTGAGGAGTTTTAAAACAGACTTTACAATTCAGCTTCACGACCACTTAAAGCTGCAGTACTTGATTTTTGTCTCATGAGAAGTTGTTTAACAAAGCCTTTAGCACAACATAAAATTGTCAATAATTTATTTTCAAAAAGACGAAATACAGTCAGAGGACAAAGTATTGGACCCACACAGGGGACAGAGCAGCAGTGCACGATACAGACTAGGAATAAAGAGAGAAATCAAGATAATGAGAACAAAGACACAGATAAGCAGCTGTAATATATAGAGAATAACTCAATTCTTAGCAAAGGTTTAAAACTATAATTGTAATTGTACTCATGGGAAAGTATTGCTGTCAAACAATTAATGCAATTAATTGAAAGTCATATCATAGTTAACTCACAGTTAATCACAATACATCACACATTTTCCGTGTTCTAAATGTTTAAAAAGGGATTGGACGAAGAAAAACTCTTATGTTAAGCCAATCCCCTCCAAAAAGAAAGTATTTGGATTGTCTAATAAGAGCTCCTCCATCTCTGCTTTTGTTATTGCTTTTTACATATATACATATAGAACTATTTAACAGTATAAATGACTTGAATTAAACTTTTAGACTATTTTGTTCATTCAAATCAGTTAGATGGTTTTTACAGTGTATATGACGATCAAGTGCAGTGGAAATAACTAAAGCTTCATCTTTCGGGCTGTGACCTGGAGATAGTTGTGATTCCTGATGAATGTCCTGTTTTCTCTAATGCCTGAAGCCTTCTGTACCTTATGCACATGTCTTTTGCGTTCCCGTGGTAGAAGCCTGGTGCATGCACAAGCACACTGACCCGAAGTGACGAGCCTATCAGTCATACTGTAATACACACTCGCCGTTAAAATAGTTTGTGTTAACGGCATTATTAACAAGTTTAACCGACAGCAATAAATTATATAACTAATCACATTCTTGCCTCACAAAGAACTGAACAAAAAACACATGTTTTTGGGTTTAAAAAAGAATTCATTCATGATGCAGATTTTAAGTCATGCAATACTGAAAGCCCTTTGGATCTGGCTCAGCTTCAAGAAAAAGTGGGAAATGAAGATGAAATATGGGCCTTATTACCGACAGCAGAAGGAAGCTGCACTTGTCTCTCCCGTCCCCCGGAACCACACATGGATTATCAGAGGACATGTGCACTTCATTGCTGTTGTTGGCTACTTTTAGATGTATGTATTTATTGATGTTAGTGTGGATGGATGTGTTGGTGCTACTGGAAACTATCTCTGAAATGTTTCTTGACGCATGGTGTGATCATGGGTCCTGCGTGAGAACCAGACTGGATGGTTACGGCTCTAACATCCTCAGTATTGCAGTGGCTCTGGGCTCAAATATCCCACAGCATCTCCTCCCAGGTGCTCGCTAAACACTACGCAAGAGCACATGCGTCATTGAAAACTTTACCAAACCTCCCATTACAGGAGTACACATCCTACAGCCCCTGCGCAAGTATAAATTATTGTTGATCGGGGCAGTTTATAATCCCTATGTGGGACACAGTCACACATGTGGCTCCTCCGCTGCTCTGGGGCCCCTCTCACCCCTGTCTGTAGATCACTTTGCACTACTTAAGCCTTATCCCGCTACAACGTCAACACAACAAATTACATAACGCACTCCAGCTGGTCGCCGCGGAAATCACACACATGTCCCGCCGTGTCATGTGGAAATGAAGATATGTGAAGCCGAGTGGAACTCACTGTGAACGGGAGCTTGGCAGAGGACGTCCGGCCACGACACGGAAAAGATGTGAATCACTGCTCGGCTCAAAGGTTATGATTCTGTCGCTTCTTTTTCTCTGTTCGAACAGTATTCATCAGTCCAGCTCGCTCTCAGCAGCGTTTCACCTGCTGCCTGTGCGCTCCAGTCTGTGGTACACGCTCGCAGCAGTGCATCCTTGTCCTAACTAGTCCCTCCCTCTCCCCCCCCCCCCTCTCTCTCTCTCTCTCTCTCTCTCTCTCTATCCCTATACACCCTTCATCTCATCCTACTCCTCTCTTCAATCGCACAGATAGAACAAAATAAATAATGTTTTGTCAACCCTCCCTCTCCTTTTCAATTCACTCATCCTTGTCCCTAACTAGGCTCTCTCTTTCTCTGTGTCTGTGTGTGTGTCTCTCTCTGTGTCTCTCACTCTGTGTCTTGTGTGTGTGTGTGTCTCTCTCTCTGTGTCTCTCTCTCCCAAACACCTTCATCTCATCTCCTCTCTTCAATAGCACCGATAGAAAAAAATAAACCCCCCCTCTCTCCTTTTCAAAAATAATTCACTCCGCGCCATCAAAGTGGAAACCTCCTATAATCCGTTTAGGGAGCGATTGAAGAAGGCAGTTCTCAGGAAACATATAAACAGTGTTAAGGTAAAAAAGAATCAATCTGCCAACATCAAACCAGCGCTGTTGCTATGGCGATTGCTTAACGCAAACATTTACGATAAAAGCATGATAATGATGATTAAATGTAAATTTCAAAGATTTGCATATGTGTTTAATGCCACTGGTGCAGAACTGGGATTCACACAAATTAAACATGAAATTGCAATATGTTAATAAAGCCATTATCAGCTCTTCCACAATCTGTGATCACTAATCTGTACGGAATGAAACAGGGATTATTCATGTCGCAGAGGGTTGAGCGCCTTTGATTTTATTGATCAAACTAAACTTTTTCTTGGTCGTCTAATTATTTTCCTGGGATTTTAATAATGTACAATCTGGGCCAGATGGGGGTACCATCGATGGTTTGAGTCTTGTGTCTCTGTGTTGTGTGTACGATGTGAAAAAACTGTATCTTTTCAGATACTATTGGTTCAGTTTGACAACAATGCTGATTTTTTTTTCTTTTTTCATAAATGATTATGTGTCATATTTTTACAAACCCCATTATATATAAGCAGTATAGTACTTATCTGAATGAAAATAGATAAACTATATGGGACAGTAAATTCATTTGAATAAAGTTTTGTTGAAAATGTGTGTGGATTGCAAATGCAATACGCATAATAATTCTACCGTAAACCTTATTACTTGTATATGCAACGTTTCTGTGTTCAGCAAATATTAGCTTGATGAAGGCCGTAAAAGCCTTTTCTCCATCGCAATTGATCTTGAGTAATTACATTAGTAATTAGTCTGTTGGATTGCAAGACAACAAATCAATTCTGCAGACATATGATTATAGTAAGGACAGTCTGTGTATGAAACATCCAATGATTAAAAAAATGTTGTTTACCGATAAGTTTGCCGTGTCCCTGGTAATCATACCTTTATTAATAATACAGTATAAACGTCTGCAGTACAGACTGTAAAGGAGTGCGGATTAGTAATGAGGGAAATGGAGGAAGAGAGAGCTTGTTGCAAAATACTTTGAACTAAAATGTTTGTTCCTCAGTCCCTGTTGCTTTCAGTCTCACCATTCAGGGCTTCAAATGTTTGGGGTTCAGTGCTCTATATTGGGGTTACCCAGCCTTTTTACCCTGTGTACCCCTCGCCAGCATGACCAGGGCACCAGTACCCCTTCATATACAAGGGTAAAAAAACGTACGGCAGTCAAACTCATTTTGGTCAGTCAAACCAAGGTCTCCATCATTCTCTTTGTGGACACTCTATTAATAACTCATATATTTGATCTGATTTTTATGTATTTATCTTTTCACTTTACGTTGATTTAATTTAATTTTTAGATTTTCCTGAACAAAATGAATACATGCTGCCGTGGGGCATGAGTAAGGCTCGTTATTGCAGAGATAAACCAAGTCATCTTTTTGCAACTTGCTTAACATTTGCTTTAAAATGAGGTATAACATATCATAGTAGCCCATTTTCACCTATCAATGTTTGCAAGTTTTGGTAATAATTTCCCCCTGTAATAACCTCACGTACCCCAAGGGGTCCGTAACCCCCCGTTGGGAAACACTGCTCTATATGATCCTGGCGTAGTTCTTTGGGTAGATTCATTTAAATACAATTAGCAACATTAGCTCAAGTGAACGATGAGTGACGTCACACATCTTTTACCCTCTCCTGTACAGTCTATGGTCTCTCAGTTTTGGTCATCTGTTTCAGTAGCCACAGCTGCCCTGAGGCACACACACAGAGTAATGTCTGAAGATCACACAGCGCACACAGTAACATAGATGCAAGATTGAACATGTTGAGAGGACAAAGCTGGGAACGTATATATTACAGACTCTCATATAAAGTGTTTGAGGTGGGTTCTAGACCTGCCAGTGGATCTTCTCCTGAGTGATGAGTCCATACGATATATTCTTTGTGCAATTGCTTTAAAAAGTTGCATTCAGTCTCAGGTGGGCGGCTTCCACTTGAACATCAGTCAGACTCCCTGTGGACCTCTGACTAACACCACCATATCCACGTTTTAATGCACTTTGTGTCTCCAGAGCATTTGCACAGACAGATCTGAATCTAAACTGTATTCAACTTCATCTTTATGTATCACATAAAACAACCATGAGATTAAAGCACCACATACAAACAACAACTATACAGAAATTATGGTCGATCTGGAGAGACTTGAACAGACAAAACAGGGGATTTATTAGAATTGTGTGGTTTGCAATTAATCTGACACTACAGAAATTCACACATACAATTCTGAAGGGTATGTTTGCACTGTATGATGAGGCAGAAGGGGAAATGGAAATACAGATTATGAGATTAAATCCGCCGACCTAGACCCTGGTGGTGGTAGCTAGGAGAAGGGTGAAAGAGCTTGTCCAGCTGACGAGGCGGTGATGTGGAGGAGGAGGGTTGCTGCATGACTGAATGAAAGCTTCCAGTATGATATGAAGCTTGTTGCAGGACGATGTTGCCGCTGAGTGTGATAGACTGATTAACTTGGAAGACATGAGCTTAGTTCTTGTGTCTTCCGGGCTAAAATTCCGCCTTAGCTTCATTATTACCTTTGTGTGGAAACCGTAGCCCATGAGCCAGATGCGGCCCTTTGGACATTTCTATCAGGCCCCTGAGCGCTCCTCAGTTTATACAGATCTAGTATAAAGACTATAAAAGACCTCTGTGAAGCGTTCAGAGCCCTGAAACTGCAGTAACGCTCCTTGCTCTGCCCAATGTACAATATATATATATATAATGTATATAAAATAATTACTATGTGTAATAAATAAAAAATATGACACAATTTACACTGCCAACATAATTTGAATGTATCCTTTTTATGTTTTCTATCCTGAATTGCGTCTAGTACAGCGGTGATCTAAAATTAAGCTCATTTGAATTGATGTATGAATATTTTAAAGTGCCCAAGCCCTCCTTTTAGTGCTCTTTGCAGAAGCAGTGATTCCTCAGCTGGAGCCAGGGATCCCGTGTGTTTCTCTCCTGCCCTGACGTTCTCAGAGGAACAGCCCTCCTCAAACCTCTGCCTTCCACTCTCTGGTTCTCACACCCATTTCAGTTTTTCTCACACTGCAACATTTTGACTTTCAATTAGCAAAAGTTTTTTTCTTTTACAGGTGGAATTCAAAATATGATGAAATAAAAAGACATTTTCTGCTTGGTTTTTAGTCCTGCTTTTGTTTGCAAAGAACTTTAACAATTGCAGTATTTGCGTTTTTTAAATTACACCCACGGCCATTTCGATTTGACTGTGATTATCCATGCAGCCTTTGTCACTGGTTCAAACTGTTCTTTTCTAACTTTTTTCATAAATCTTTTTTCTACTTCTAACTAACCGTAGATTTGGCATAATCACAGACAACAAATAACCAACCCAAAAATATAGTTTTTATAATATTAAGAATAATTCATGGGTGTCACAGATTACAGAAGACTAAGAAATATGTAAGGGATAACATATATTACGTTATCCCGCTTATTTTACGGCTTTTTACCAACAGAACACACAACATAAACTTCAGTCCACTTTTAGGAATGCCGAAAGGTTTATTTAAAATAATAGTTCCCAAAGGCTTTCCCGTGGCTATGCTAGCAACAGTTAGGCTATCAACTTCCAAACTAGAACTCCATGGAACTGCATGAAAACTGAACAAAGAATTGTGAACATCAGTGGTGAGTGACCCAAACATAAACTTAACCTAAATCCATAATTTGATCCGCTGCAAATGTGTCCTAAAATGTGCCGGTATTTACTTCCGGGTTTTTCGGGATCGCCTTTTCTCGCATTACATCAGTGTTTTTGTCACGAAAATGTAAACAGAAAATTCGGAAAACTTCCATGCACTTGTATTTAGAATGTATATGTTTAATGTATTCTCCGATTAACATTTAAAATATGTTGATTGATTGGTATTTGCGTTTAATGAGCGTGGCTAGCTCCGGCGTGGCCGGAACTATTTCTGGGTTTTTCATGATCGCTTTTTGACGCAGATAAATAGTATTTTTGTCATGAAGACAAGACCAGTAAATTCTGAAAATCTCTGTGCACGTGTGTGAAGAATGTATATATATAAGTATTCTCCGATTAACATTTAAGTGTGTTGATTGATTGGTATTTGCGTTTATTGAGCATGGCTAGCTCCGGAGTGGCCGTAACTACTTGAGGAGTTATCCACGCATCTGAAAGAGAAGCAGAGAGTGCGTTGCCATGGGCAGCGGTCATTATTGTTTTGAGAGGTCCGTTATAGAAAAGCAAAGCACCCCCCTTTAGTATGGATATTTTTAATAAAATGCACCAAGAAATGGTGACTTCTGATAAACTATAATTCACTGTGGCATTAGCAGCGCACACACACATCTGCTCCTTCACTCACACACACACACACACACACACGCACACACAACAGCTCTCTTGTCTCGTACAGTTTGAGCAGGTGAACGTGTGCTTCCATCTCTCCCTCTCTATACAGTGCATCAATCCCGTCTCTTTCCTCGTCTCTAACTCATTCGGAATAAGAGACCGCAAA